GCGGAGAGCCTTTCCTCCCGTTCTCCTTGCTGTTCCTCGCGGTCTTGATCCGACGGTTCGCATCTTGTCTCGCCCGTAGGCGTCTTGGTGGAATTAGGAAAAATTTCCTTCTTCCTTTCTTGAATTCTGAGAACTTCACCAATGGTGGTTTTGCTCTCGAGCGCGGCTCTCGGGTGCGGTAATAATTCTGCCACCACTTGGCTTTTTTGCACCCTGACAGGGTACGTCCTAAACTTTGCAACGAGTAAACGAAATGGCCGTTCGGGCTCAACCTGAACGACACCATTCGTGCACGTCAACCCGTGCCTTTCGTACAACGACGAGTACGGCTGAACCACAACCAAGCCCGCCCTCTTCGAGGTGCATTCCATGACGCGTTGTGTCCCTGGCTCGATAGTCGTGGCTCTTGCCACTTTTACCTTAGGGGAAATTCGCTCCACCATTCCATCATTCTCGTCCTCGCCCAGGACGAGATTCTTCTTCCCTTTTCTCGTCGAGAACCGTCTAACTATCGGAACCTCCGTGAAATCCGCCAACTCAACCATTTTCTTCCTTGGATAAATTGCTTCCACAAACCGGTCACAGTAGTCCGCGCCTGGAATTAGCGAGACTGCTAGTTTTTCGCATACAATAAACTCGGCTGCGGCCACAAATTTTCCAAGCCTCACAGGCATTCTAATCGGGCCGAGAGTCCGAAGTGGCCTATTGTTTGCGTCGCCAATGTCTTGGGTCGGTCCGTAGGACACTAGAGATTCCATTCCAGCCTGGAGTTCCGATTTTCGCACAAGGTTTGGTCCCGCGCTGGTGTCTAAAACAGACAACACCCGGCTCATCAATCCGATTGTGGGTCCGATGTCCGCGTAAACTTTGTAGTTTTTTCGCGCAAGAACCAAAATCTTCTCGGGACACTCCCTTCGCTTGACCCTGAACCAGGGTCTTCGAACTTCTTCCAGCGGATGATCTCGGGCTCGGCTCAGAATTTTCTTGACTTGAGCTGGCCCTTTGGGCTTATCCACCAATCCAACAACCTCCTCATCGGGGTCTGATTTTTCCCGTAGGGACGGGGAACTGGGCTAAGTCCCGGGCACAGTACGTCGACCCTGTGCCTCTCGCGACTCATGCAAGATTCCCCTCTCTAGTTTTCCTGCCGTGGCGGGATCCTTCTCACATCCGACGGCGCGAGACCCGCGGCGGGCCCTCTGAAGGGTTGGTTCGACCTCGGCGTTGAAGCACTCGGTGCGCTCGCCGTCTGCGAATCGAACCAATTCTTGACCTTCAGGTAACTGGTCGATGGTATCCCTAACCTCTCCATCGGAGACAACGCCTCATAATTTTCCAAAACTCGGTGCATTTCTCGGAGGGAAAGAACGCACGTTGGCGCAGCGTGCCCCTTTCCATAGCAATTATAGCACACCAGTCCGTGCGTCTTGACGGGATATTGCGGCCTAGGCCCTCCACGGGCCGGCGGTCTTCCTTGACGTTGCGGCCTTCCCATCCAGCATGGCCTTCGAAACGTCGTACTCTTGTCTTCCATCGGAATGCGCGGCGCCGGCGTGTGGCCGCGCCCCCGAAACATCATCACGGGATCCGTGGGCTCTGAAAACGACTCCGTCGTGTATGTGGGTGTCGGTAAAGTTGACGACCCGCTTGCCCCGTAGTCCTCGTGTCCGTCGCCCTCCGAGGGCTCAATGAACTCGCCTTCGGCTACCAACGCGCCCTCGTAATGATTTTCGCTACTTCCATGCGCACTGCGCTCATCTGACGCGAAAATTGACTCGGCTAAATGGACGGCGGCATGACTTTTGCGACCGGGATAAGAAGCCCTCGGCTTCTTACCTGCCCGGATCGTCGACGGCGTCTGGATCGTGACCTTCTTGGTCTTCTTGTCTTTAGCGCGGCTCGCCGAGCCATGCGCCTTCGCGTAATTCACTAGTCTCAAAAACGAAACGTCTCGATTGTCTTGCCGGTATTGAGATACCATCGGCTTGATACTCGAATCGAGTCCTTCAATAAACATCGTCATTTGTTCTTCCATCGAATATACGTTTCCACATCGATTGCTCGCGTCCGTCAGACGGATATAAAATTCCATCTCGTCTTCAGACGGTCTTTGCTGAACCTCTCGCAATGCGAATACGGCTTGACGGATCGCCTCGTCGGTTGCGAAACTCCTCAACAACCACTGTACGGCCTCCGGCCAAACGGATACTTTTCCGTGGTGGGACCCGGCCGTCTGAGACACCGAATTGTACTGTCTCAGGGCGATGCCACTTAGAAATTCGGGCAACAAGCCGATCGCTTGCCCCTCGTTCATTTCTTGAGTATCAAACTCTTGAACTAATTTTGCCAAAAAATCCAACACAAGGACCCCGTCCTTACCTGTGAACGTGTTGCCCTTCTTCACCTTAGGCGGAATATCTCTCCTGATTTTTCGCACGGCGGTCCGCCGGGAACTTGACAAATATGTCTGCGGGTTCCGCAAGCGGTACGGTCGGTACGAAAGTAATTTCTTGAAGAGGTAGTTGGTCGGATTCAGCTCCTCCAACTCCTCCCATCGCGGCCCGCGCCGCGTTGCGACATCTTCGGGCTCCGCGTCCTTGTCTCTCCGCGAGGCGGACGAAGTGACTCCGCCCCGTCTGGAGGTAATTTTCTTGCCCTGCGAAATTCCTTTTCCTTCCTCTGAACGATGTTCGGAATCGCTGGCATGGTTCGACGAACCGTCGTCACCATCTTCGGAAAGGCCATTCGACTCGGCCGTTGAGTCCTGGCCCTCCGGCTCGTCACTACAGTGACTCTTGCTCCGGCGTCGCAGATTCTTCTTCGAAGTCTTCGACTTGGAACTCCGCTGTACAGCGGCCTTGTCCTTCTTCGATCGACGGTCGCCTTCTCGACCCGTTGGGAGCGGCTCTTGCCCGGCGACCTGCTCAAGATCCTTGAGACGATGAGCGGCGCGGTCGAACCGGTCGTCGATACTGCTTCTAAATTTACCTAAGGACTCCAAAGCTTGATTCGCGTCGCGCCTTGCGTCCTTGACTGAACTTTTCAACGAAGCTAGGACCTCCGGCTCCAGACCGTCGGTCGCCTCACCTCGCTCCTTCTCGACGAGATCCACTCGAGCCGATAGCTCTCCTAAAACAGTGTGGAACTCGGATGCTTGCAGCTCCAGTTGCTTCCGGACGAGGGCTAATTCAGCCTCGAGATTTTTCGTCATCTCTTGGCGAATTTCCTCGCCCATCTTCTCGAACCTGTAGGATAGGTTATCCTTGTCGGTTTCGATCCCCGTCGGGGATTCTTGACCTTCGGGATCCGTGGCCGTATTGGCCTGGCTTCGGGTGCGAGGACCTCGCGGGATCCTCGACGCCCTTGCTGATCCGCTCCTACTCGACCCGGGACCGACGTCCCCGGGTGCGCTTGTCGACATCGCTCGTACGAGCGAACCTACACAAAAAAGTACAAACAAAAAAAATAAAAAAAGGGACTCCGTTACCCAGACCACTTTCGTAGTACAACCCCAGGTCAAATTTGTCGTTGACACAATTCTAGGTCGGGTTTGCTGTACACAATTCTAGGTCGGGAGACCACTTTTGTAGTGCGTCTCCAGACCGGGACTGTCGTAGGAAAAAGTCTTGATCAGGTCTCTTGTACACCAAAGTTTCTAGGTCGGGAGACCACTTTTGTAGTGCAATGTGCCTGGCAGGCCGCGAACACAGTCCGACGGTCAAACAAAAAGACGAAAAACAACAGCAACAACAACAACTGCCGATGGCACGCGCTACGGAGCGTTCGAGACTCCCTTTCCCCTTGTGTGGGCTTGCGGCCCACGGTAGCTCAACTCCGACGGGGGGGTAAGGAAAGATGCCCGGCCCGGGAGGAAAATGGTGGTAGGGACTTATGAAGACTTGAGCGCTCGGCGAGTGCGGGTTGGGCTTGTCTACGAGAATGTAACCGCGGTTCGCTGGGTTGTAAGGCCAATGCTCGACGAGCGTCTTCAGCACCTTGGGTATAATTCAAGGTCTTCGACGGGGGCTTGCTCAGCACTACCCGACGGGATCGTAATTGTGTAGCAGCGCTACGACCGACGTGTTGCCCGATGGCTAGAAACACCCTCACCAGCGCGATCGCAATCGCGGTAGGTGGTACCAACTCTGTCTTATACAGTAAGACCTTCGACGGAGGCGTCGTCGCAACAGCCTTCCGACGGAACTTGAAACACTAGCAGCGCTACACGACGTGTTGCCCGATGGCTAAAACACCTACACCGGATCGGTCGCAACCGACTCCGATGGAACCAACACAATTAAGGGAAAGATAGAAATAGAAGTAGAGAAGAATAGGGAAATAAAGGAAAAAGAGAAAAGGGGACCCCCGAGCGCAAAGGATGCCGTAGGCTTAGGTAAAAGGGAGCGTCTTGGTAGAGACGGACTTCGACCAAGGCGACATTCAACTCTGGCAACTCGGGTTACCTTTACTGACTTGGTCGTCAGAGGGCTAAGGTATATATCGCCCCACCGGAGCCAGTACAGTAGCTCGCGGCGCTAGATCCTAGATCTAATGTAGTGTCAGCTAAATTAATGCCAACTAATTAACTAAATAAAATAAAATAATTAAAAATTAAAACTGTGCAATTATTCACACGTGTGTCCCCCAAACCCGGACTACTTTTCATATCCAAATATTTTCCTTTCTTTTCACCCCCCTTTCCAGGTGCGTATTGCACTACAAATTTGCTTGATATTGCGAGGAGCTTCCCATTTTTGGACAGTTTCGATCGTCTTTGGGTTTACTTGAATACCATTTTCACTTATGATGTGGCTATGGTATTCAAGATTATGACAAAAGGAATTTAAACTTAGAGAGCTTTCCGTATAGTTGATGCTCCTTCAATATTTGTAGTATTGTCCTAAGATGGTTCAGATGATCCTCTTTCGTTTTACTGTAGATAAGGATGTCGTCTAAGTAGACAACGACAAACTTATCTAAGTGTGGCCTGAATATATTGTTCATGAGGGTCTGGAAGCATCCTGGGCACCTGTTAATCTAAAGGGCGTTACTAGGTATTCGTATTGACCATATCTAGTCCGGAATGCTGTCTTTTGAATATGAGCATCCCTCAACGTTATTTGATGATACCTAGATCTTAGATTAATGGTGGAAAAGTATTTCGATCGTCCTACCTGATCCCATACTTCATCAATTCTAGCTAAGGGTACCTGGTTCATAATGGTCTGTTTGTTGAGTGCTTGATAATCGATGCACATTCTTAGGCCACCGTCCTTCTTTGGAGTGAACAAGACAGGACTACCGCAAGGACTTATACTTGGGCGTATGAATCCGTTTTCAATGGCTTCTTCTAATTGGTCCTTCATTTCTTCTAGCTCTTTTCTTTAAAGTTTATAGATGGGACCCATTTTGGGCCATGCATCCTTTTCTAAGTCTATTATTATTTCAACAGATCTTTTTGGAGGCAATTCTTTTGGAAGATCTTGTGAGAATACGCGTTTGTATTCTCCCAGAAGTCTGTCTAACTGTCTCATGTAATCGTCCTTTTCACTACTCTTTGCTGCATTTTCTCCTTCCTCTTGAGAAGGTTTCAATACGACATGATATATGGTGCTTTTCTGCTTTTTCGCTAACCTCACGAACTGTGTACTCGTAGGCATGTATGTCAGGGCGGCTTCCCCATGCTTATGAGCCTCTGTGTCCATGGTTATTAACCTTTCCTCCTGTTTGAGGAGCATACGGTTCATTTTCCAATCGATTAAAGGGGCTTTGGATAACCACGCCATGCCCAGGATGAAGTCGTATGCAATCCAGTCCACCACGTATGGTCGTACGGTAATGGTATCTTCCCCAATGCTTATGATAAGGTTCTCGAAACACCGTTCCATAGGATCAAGTGTTCGGTCCCATAGTTCTGCACTGAGGTTAGTATTATCCTTTCTCAACTTCAATTTTTCTGCATATGCTTTTGATATTATTAATTCTTCGCACCCACTGTCTACCGGAATAGTGCAACGGGAATTGTCGCCTGCATCTTGCACCTCCCCGTTGAAACTAGTAGAGCTTACCTCTTTATATTTCTTCTCTTCTTGTATGGTGAGAATGCACATACTTTGACGGACTCTTTCCAGTTGTTCTCTTTCGAATACTGCTTGTTTTTGTCTTTTTGTATTTTGTCATTTTTTGTGTTTTTGTAGTTTTCTCTTCGGCTATAGTACATTTATCCGCAAATGTGCCGACTTCATTCAACGGAACAACTCATTTTTCTTTTGGGTAAACGCGTGAGGTCTAGGCCTCTGGTTGTTGTAGTGATTTCTGGCTACGCAGACGAAGCATAACCTATGCTCAATTCTTCGCGATTTTTCTGCTGGGGACAGTTTCGTACTTCTGCGCGGTTGCATGTTCCCAATTTAAATTGGTGTAGGCGCAGAGGAGAAAATAGGCGTTGATCTTGCGAATCCAAAGTAATTCTGACCACTATTGAAGAGACTATCAAGTCTATCGGCAATTTTCATAGCGTTTTGTAATGATTGTGGTTCTGCCGGCTCGATCTCGATTCTCGTACGGGTCTTAAGCCTCTGGCTGTAGTGGAATATCTGTTCAGCAGATTTCATACATGGGATCTCCAAGAGTCATCTTGAGAACTCTCTATTATATTCCCGGACTAAGGTTAACTTGCCCATTTGTTTCAGATCACTCAACACTTTCCTTGCCGTCATCTCTCTGTTCACAGGTTCAAAATAGTTTAATAGTTCTTTTTCAAACTCATCAAATGATTTTATAGCATTGTCCTTTAGGTTTGCTAACTCCCACCATTGCAGTCCCGCATCCGTCATATAGCTTACGGCATAGTTGATTTTTGGGTTGTCATCGATTGTATTGCTGTGCGCTGCAAAAATATTTGCTATACTTTTCAACCAGCTTCGAGCATTTCCACCGCTGAACTTTTTAGGTTTGCCAGTTTTTAACAAAAGGCTATTGCTATTGCTATTCGTCGTATTTACGTTAGAACTAGATTGGGTGGCGATAGCAACAGTTTGATTTGTCTGAGCTATTTGCTCCTGTAATGACCGATTAGCTTGAGCTACTTGCTGGCGAAGAGGGCTGATCTCGTTTTGCATTTGGACTATTGAATCGGGCTCCATAGTGTACAGTAGACAATTTTGAAATTTTCAAGCAAGGCAATTTTTAAAGCACATTTTCTACTGTAGTGAATACCTCTAAATTGAACGTTTGGAGTATTTCTTGAAGTACCCCAAGGTCTTCGATAGTACACCGGGGTTCGTTTTCCTCGGTTTTGTAAGCTTGGTCCAACGTCCAATCACGCCCTTGCTCGATGCCAAGTGTATTAGTCGATGTCGTTCCTTGACACGGCGGCGGTGCTCGTCTTCAACCTTATGCGCGTTGAACAATAACGCATTCCTGTAGTTCGTATGACATAAATCGCACTTTACTGTAAGGATATTAGAGTTCTCGCGGTTAAGGTTTTCCACAGCAGGGCCGAATCCACGGCTTAAAATGAGGTGTCTTATGAGGGACTCGGAGCGGTTGTGCTCCAACCACGATTGGTTGTCCGGCTTGTTAAGTTGACAAGTGGAGCACTTCTCTCCACTCGGTCCTGGATTAGCCGACGGTAGCTCGAAGGTAGCCCCACGGTCCAGCTCACCCTTTCCCAGAGCAATATTAAAACTGAACTCCTTTTCAGCCGGTAGCAGTATTGCACTCTTGTTAGCCGAGGTCGATTGGCTCTGAGGTTGAATTTCGCCTTGTTTTTCGACGATAATGGGCTCCGGCTCGCTATTGGTGCTGCCGGTGTTACGTGTGGAATCCGTGCTTTTGGTATTGACTTCGCACACTGGAAATATTTCGGTAGAAAAGAGGGTTAGATCGATTTGGCGATGCCACCACTTTTAGCGGTGCGCAGGGTTAATAAAATGAACAGAGTGAATCACTTGTTGAATGGTTTTTGCAAAGCGGTTCTGAAGTTGGACACACTCGGGGTTGCAGGTTGGGTGGCTCTCAGGTTTTGTAGTTAGACTGCTGCTAATGAACCTGGCGGAGCAGAAACCACGTTGCCTTGCGTCGCGCGGTGAAGGGGGATCGGTAGAGGTAGAAAAGCTGGAAGAAAAAGACGAAAGATTGAGAGGAATGGGAGTCCTTGAGGCTTCTGTATCGCTTTAATTAAGCAATTGAGAAACTAGGCGTAGCAGGGTTTTCTTCTTCCTAGCTAGAGAAAGATATGGGAAGCAAGTACTTAAACACTATCTGCATAGATAGCTGCGCCCCTTCATTCCTCCCTCTTCGCCCTAACTTTCTCGCCCTCCACGTCCAGCATGGCCGAGGGACTTTGCGAAGCCACATTTTCATTCCAACACAACCGGTCTGTCGCAACCCCTGCATTCCTCCCTATTTCCAGGTACTTCTTGGCAGAATTGCGCCCGGTTGAGTGGCATGCCCGTTGGGCACCCCCACTTTCTCTCCGCAGTGGAGCGTGCCCCTCAGGCTCTACAGGCCTTACAGGGGTCCCATCTGCTACTGTATTTGACTCCACGTGTCTAACTGTCTCATTATCATACGCACCCTTCTTTCTCAACCGCTCTACAGTAGTATCATCGAGCGGCTCCACAATCGCAACCATTTTTTTCATTTCCGAAAACCGGGCACGCCAAACCACGGGCGAGTTTCATCATTTCACCATCGTAATGTATCTTCACTCTATCATCCGAGTATCAGATCCGACCCCTGGTACACACGCTGTGGTAGGCATAGCAATATTAAACTCTACTGCGCACAATCCACAGAGTTGGATGCACCGTCATCCTCCCAGCCATCATGTCCATCAGCGCCTTGCTCTGCACAATCTTTGTGATGGCATCTCCCGGGTTGTTGGATCCTGCTACGTGGGCAACACCATCAATGTCCCTCCGGCGATACGCTTGCCGTATCGCGGCCATGTCAATCATGAGCCTCCTTTCAGCACTGTAGAAGTTCCTCGTGATCATATCAAACAGTCCTCTGGAGTCGGTGAGCATATACAGCGGCAAATCGCGGCGAGTAATCTTCTTCATGTCGTGTTTCAGCACAAACTCAGCGTCAAACCCCGCCGTGAATGCCATAATTTCACCGCCAAGAGAGGAATGCGTGACCCGGCGACACTTGCGACTCGCGTATTCGACGATGTTACCCCTTCCGGCATTGTCCGTTACCACGATTACGAACCCAATTTGGGATGGCAGATCTTCATTTTTCCCAAGCGCGGCGTCGGTTAACACCATGATCGAGGCTGAGTTGAGGTCCACACATGGCATTACGATGCCCAATTTGGGGCACTTTTGCACATGATCCACGACCTTATTCACACCCTTCACTGCAGTGTGGTCGAAGGTTCTATCCTTCACCTGGGCCAACTTTGCAACAGCGCAGAGAACATCAGGCCTAGAATTTGTTAGCCAGGCCAGCTTGGCCCTTGCTGACCACAATACCTGGTACGTTGCCCCCTTGTACATCTTTGCTAACGTCTGCGCGTAATCGCATTGGCTCAGTACAAAGCCCCCCTGTACGTTCCTATCCACATGTATCCCGGCAAAAAAGATCCCTTCTCGCGTGTGTGCCTTGCTTCTGAACAAATTGACCGTCTTTCCTGTGTGCTCGAAGAAAGGCTCAGTTCCACAGTGGAGATTATCGTCGACTACAATTCCGGACAGCCCACAAAGCTCGCCCTTACTGCGCCGAAAATACAAGCTCAGATCTCCCGTCGTTGGCACCATCCCCAAGTCGCAAACATGATGACGCGAATTTGTGGATCCCTCATAATCGCCGAAATCGGCGAGTCCATAGAGCGGTTGCCCAAGTCGCAGCAAGTGTCCCTTGCGAAATTTTAACTCTGAAGACGGGCGGAGGAAGACGTTTCTCTGCAGATGACTATCAGTGTAGTGCACTGACCCACCTTTCTTTTCTCACGGGGGACACGTGTCCCCGGCCAGCACGACTCCTTCTCCGGGGCACACGTGTATCTCACGCCACGTGTAACCGGGCATCAAGGCCCCTGTGACCAGGTGTCATTCCCCACTTGTAATGGTTGTCATACCTTCCCAAGGGAAGTTTCTCCGGCCGTCGCCGCCTTCGTTTTAATTTAGTATTTTTAGTTTAATTAATTATAGCTCGGACGGCGACTAGTATATAGCCAACGTCCGACCCTAAGTAAATCCTTACGAAGCTTTGGGTCTACAACTCGGGTTTTTGGAACGGAGTCGTAGCC